AAAAAAAAAAAAGAAAGAAAATAAGATAGTAGTAGGATAAAGATGATAAAGCAAGATAAAAGGTTAATATGAGTAGAATCAGAGTGGTGAATATATAGGTGTTTCCTTTAAAATTCTTATAACTTTGCTATATGTTTGAAAAATCTTCAAAATAGAGGAAAAAAAATTTTTTTAAATGTTCGGCTCAGCGCCTGTGGCTCAAGTGGCTAAGGTGCCAGCCACATACACCTAAGGTGGCGGGTTCGAATCCCCGGCCCGGGCCCGCCAAACAACAATGACGGCTGCAACTAAAAAATGGCCGGGCGTTGTGGCGGGCGCCTGTAGTCCCAGCTACTTGGGAGGCTGAGGCAGGAGACTCGCTTGAGCCCAGGAGTTAGAGGTTGCTGTGAGCTGTGATGCCATAGCACTCTACCCAGGAGGATAGCTTGAGGCTCTGTCTAAAAGAAATAAAAAAAAAAAATGTTCAAGAGGGTGGCACCTGTGGCTCAAAGGAGTAGGGCGCGGGCCCCATATGCTGGAGGTGGCAGGTTCAAACCCAGCCCAGCCAAAAACTGCAAAAAAAACTTCATGATTTGCACAGCTGGAGGCCAGAAGACTGATGGCATCATTAGCAGAAATGGAAAATTTAGGAAGAGGTAGGCTGGCTTGGTGGAAGGTGGTGGTATAACTAACAGGTCTTGAATGCCTGGGCAGTGCTAAGTAATTTATGCACGTATTTCCAACAATTTTTCAATTTAGTTTTTATAAGTACCTCTAGTCTTTGGTCATCAGCAGATCCATTTTCAGATGAGTAAACTGAGGCTCTGAAAATGTACATATTTCTGCAGTCATTAGAATATTAGTATGCTGGGGAAGGACTGATTACATAATTTACAGGCCTGTTGTAATATGAAAATATAGGAATTCTTGTTCAAAAATTATTAAAAGCAGAGCATTTAACCAAAAACATGAATGGGGCCTTTTGAGACACAAGCTGCACACACATAAAGCTAGGGAGACAAGTAAGATTTGAATCTTGGGTTGTCTACAAGAAAAGTCCATGCTTTTTCCGGTAAACCGTATTAAGTTCAGATGACCTGTTCATTTTTGTGCACAATGAATGAAACATGATGATGTCAGTTGATGATGATCTGCAGATGGTTAATAACTGAATTGCAGGTCAGGAGTTGCTTCTGTGATGCTGTTGTTTGTTCTTTGCTCAGTGGATATTTGACCACTCAGGATATTATATATATTTAATTACAGGATATTATATTTGACCTAGATTAGAAAAATAATTTTTGATCAAAGGCTGACAGTGTATTTCCTTAAATATCAAGGAGTTAAGAATAATTCTTTTAACTTCCCCCCTCTCTGAAATTCTTCACTGAATTTTGTTTTTCCTAATAAGTGTGTAAATACTTTAGTGGTGAGCTGCTAGAGATTTGGTAAATCTGGACGTAGAAGAACATTCTTCTCAACTTTTCAGTGGATCCTAGAGGTTTGATTTAAATCTTGGTTTCATTTAAGAGTAAGCTACTTTCTCAATATAATCATACTTTTACTGATAACAGTAACTTTTAGTTTAATTGGTAAAGATGCATTATCTCTCTTTTTTTTAAACACAGAGTCTCACTATGTCGCTCTCGATAGAGTGTTGTGGTGTCACAGCTCACAGCAACCTCGAACTCTTGGGCTTAAGTGATTCTCTTGTCTCAGTCTCCCAAGTAGCTGGGACTACAGGCGCCTGCCAGAACACCTGGCTATTTTGTTGTTGTTGTTGTTGCAGTTGTCATTGTTGTTTAGCAGGCCCGGGCTGGGTTTGAACCCTGAGTTATGGGCGCCGCCAGACACATCATCTCTTAATCAGACAATTCTTGCCTGTCTTTAAGGAAGAATGGAAGATCTATAACTTTTCTCAAGACAAATGAGTATGTCTCAATCCTAATGTGAAAAGAGTTTCCCTACATTGACATCCTCCTGTTATTAATTGTATTTCATCCGTTTGCTTCTTAAAGACAATAATACTAAGTTTATATTTTTAATTTAAAAAATCATTGAAATTCTAGAGGTCTTTTATGTTGATCACGGCTGTTTCAATTAGCAGACCAAGAACAGACGTCAGGTTGAGTTTTTCCCAAGACATCCTCTAGAAGGCAGTCACTTTTCCTGCTGATCAATCAACCCAGGTACCCCCTCTCTTCCATCCTTCCGCCCCTCCTCAGCTCTCTGTGTCAGCTTTCGCCCTGGCCCCGGCCCCGCCTCCGGCCCCGCCCCCGACTCGTCTTTCACCCCCGCCCTCCATCCCTTTCGTCTCGCAGTAATTCTAGCCCCGCCCCTTGGCGTCCCATGGCGGAAAAGTCCGCTAGGGGCCGCTCTGGCCCGCTGGAGGACTCGTCGTCTGTGCCCGGCGGCGCACGCCGGCGGTGGGCGGGTCTGAAGTGAGTGATCCTAGTCGGTCGCCTCAGCTGCTGGCTTCTGTGCTCTGCGGCGGTGGGTGGGTCTGACGTGACACCGGAGAGCGAACCCGGTGCTTTGGCTCCAGAGTGTTTTGGCGGTGGCAGGGCCGGAGGTTTGCAGACTCATGGCGAGGTGAGCGGGCGGGCATGCGAGCGGCCGAGAGCAGGCTTGTCCCCTGCGCTCGCAGAAGTGGGGAAAGGGTCGGGAGTGGATACTGCTTGGTCGCAAAGTTTGGAGTCGCCCTTGGAGGCGCAGCTCTCAGAACATAGCCTAGGCCCTCCCCGGTCACCTGGCCAAGCTCCGTGTTTCTCTCTGATTGCTAGCATCTACTTTGCAGCAACATCTTTTTCTGCCACTGACTCGTGTTCAGACTTGACGCCACAGGACTTACTTTCCTTTTGGCCCTTATTTCTTTTCTTTCTTAAAAGTTGAGTACGGTTGGGGACACCTCGTTATTCAGTTCACAGCAATTGAGTGACGTGTTTTGTGCAGCTGACAACCACGTGTGCTTTGCTCGTTGTCGCACCTGTGCCCCCGGTGTGCCTTTATTTAGCTTTATGGAATGGCTCCAGTGGTAATGCAGGCGTCTGGAACTTTTCAGGCTAGTGTTTTGGACATTTAACGTGGCTTGGTGGAACATGTTTGAAAACGTTCTGTTTAACTTTTCTTTCTTTCTTTTTTTTTTTTTTTT